GGGGCAGTGAGGATGGCTGTGAGTATTTACACAACATGCCGTATGTTGCGAATTCGTAAGAATAACAGCGAATTGGTATGAGAAGTATGCGAATCGATGAGAAGAGACGAATCTATCTATTTTTAATCTGAAAGAAAAGTGTCCTGTCCCTATGTAGCCTATTAAGCGTACACACCAGTTCGTAATGAATTTGTAGAATGGGTTTGTCGATTCGTGGATCCATTTTCAACCGCATCAGTTCGTAATACGAATTTGCTAATTCGTATTTACGAATCAATCTAGTTTCAAAAATAGTGAACACGAATTCGTAAACTAATTTTACGAATTATTTGCGAATTGATCAGCACCGTGTTTGATCTATTCTCTGTTTACGAATTCGCAAGAAGAATTCGTAAAAGTTTAAGAGTATCCGTACGAATTGGGTACAGTTCGCTGTGCCTTGACAATACTCTGTGCCTTGACGATAGATAGGGACTCCCTATCTATTAACTTTAGACTCCCTATTAGGGAGTCTAAAGTTAATGCTTCTGACAGAGAAAGATTGTCAAAACAACCGTTTGGTGTCTGTGGTCTAGCCCGCAGCTCGACTGCCCCACCAGTGATTACACACACTCCGAAAGAACGATGTATAATAGAAGAAGTCGATGATGATGAAGATGCCAGGGAAACTTCTGAAAAATATGGCCGTAAGAGGTCATTTATTCTGAACGCAGAGAAAGATCTTGTCATACAGAGTTCAGTGGAAGTCATCGAGACAGTATTCGTAGTGATAATCGAAGAACAACCTATCACAGTCCAGTTGTATCAAAACCAATCCCTCCACCACCATCTGTGGCCAAATGTCCGAAATCCATTTGCAAAGAATTCATCAAGTCACTCCGTTGGCTGGAAGCTCTTTTTGACCATAGTTATGATGCTTGCTACTGTTCCAAATGTTACTCCTTAACTAAACCCAGTTTTGGTGTCAAAGGTGGATACAAATTTGAGGTGCCAAGAGGATGGTGTCGATTTGGACTAAAAATTGATAGCGCTCATAGCGACACTCATAAAATCTGGAAGAAATGGGCTACAAGTTATCATGGAACAGCTATCAATACTATACAAATAATTTTAACTAATAGTTACATACCCCTAGAGGATGATGTTCTAATGAATGGTGAAACATTTCATATGTCTCATAGTGATAAAACCCATTATTACACCTCACCTTCGATTAAGTATGCTGCTCTGCCAATATTTACTCCTGAAACATCGTTCACTTCTACTGATAATGAAGTTTATGGTGTTCAAGTTGTTTTACAATGTAAACAGGAACCGAACACTTTTGAGGTACAAAATGCAAGTGCCGGTGCAGTGAGGCGTATCATTCCACGGCGAGAAATTGAATGGAAATCCAATACTCGGGGTGTCGTTGTTGTACCATATGGTCTAATGGTTTGTGTAAGAAGAAGATCATAGTTTGTTTGGAGTTACAAGAAACGGTTGCTTCCGATAAGTCCCCATTTATCAAGGTAGGATGGGAATCGAATGTACAAGTTTTGAATGATAAGAGATTTGATGAGTGTTGGACTTCAAAACTTTCTGGATTGCTCTTAATACTATTATCATAGATGTAACAGCAATACTCATTCTATTTTTTATTTTTTGCAGCAATCTAGAACTTTTTGCAGAAAGTGAAGGGATTTTTGCGAAATTAAAACTTGTAAAACACTCAGTGAAATTTTGGTATTGTTATATAGAAATTTTTATATGTAAGGTGTAGGCAATTCAAACTTCAAGTAAAATTTCTTTTTTGCCGGTTTTTTTACATCATTCGATAGAGCGAGAGTTGCTAATCGTGAAAAACAACTTTTTACCTTAGGCAAATATCTTTTTCAGGTCGAAAAATACGAAAAAGTCCAAGGATGTCGTATTTTAGGAGTAAACTGCATCACTATCTTTCACGGATGTGCTCTAGCTCCGGTTGTGCTGCTGAATGCGGGAAACGGACGAAATAGGGTAGCGTCAGGTCCGCCTGAGAGAGAGAGCGAGAGAGTTTCTTAAAATTGACGGAAGGAGAATAAGCACTCTCACCGCTCACCTGTAAACAAAATCAGAATTCCAGTTTCTCCTCCTTGTCCGTATGTGCTCTCCCAAGCATTCAAAAACGGTAAGTACGTGTAGATATTTCCATCTTCTGCTTCATCATACCAAAACCGTCGTGAAAACTGTAGATTAAACTCTGTATTCGTTCCATACTGAAGATTTTCAATTGCGTACAGCTTCAAGTGATCGAATCCAGCCTGACTAGTCAGTTCTCTTTCGCATCACACTAAATGGAACTGTTGTTATAACTCTATCGAATGTCCCCGTGATTTCATGAGAGCGCCCATCACTCTTCACTGTGACGGTCAGTGTGACAGTTTCATCAAGCTCATTGCTAATAATTTTTGTGAGAAAATGGTTCAGTTTTATTGACACTGTTCCTCTTAAGTGTTTTGCAATTGCAAGTGGGAGCAGTTGATTCCCACCTTTGATCTTGTAGCGCTGATCAGATGCACCGAAAATTGAGAGCGTCTTAGTGTTCTGTTGTGAAATTGAGAAGAGCATATTTAATGAGCTTTGTTCTCTTGAATCGAGACCATACTCTTGTGTATAAGCTGAATCTAGGAGTTCGCCTAATTGAGATCGATGACCATGGGGAACATACATTTCAATCCAATCGTACAACGACAGATTATCGAAGTAGCGCTCAGTTTCAGTGAAATTGTCGTACTGAACAGTGTCATCAATCTGGTCCATTTGTTCAACGATAGTTGAGTAGACCCTTTACGGTCGAAGAAATCTTTTGAAGCCTGTTTGAGAGAGTAATTTCGATTATGGAAGTAAAAGTCATCAACCTCAAGGGAACTGTTGTAGAGAGCAATTGTATAGATCAAGCTCAGATTGAATCGAGCGGCAAGTGCACGCATAACTAGGCATGCACCAGTTCCAATCTTAGGCTTGGAGGATTGGTACCAGTTAGGCTTGGTACCAATCCCAACAATCTCCAGTTAGGCTTGGTGCCAATCCCAACAATCTCCAGTTAGGCTTGGTACCAATCCCAACAATCTCCAGTTAGGCTTGGTATCAGTCGGATTGGTCGACCAGTTAGGCTTCGTCGAATGCAGTAGGCAAGACCTTTACCGTACAACCTATGATGTAACCGTCATTGCACTATGCGCTTAGAGTAATTTTTTTTGTGCTTCTGTTTTACTTCAAAGAAGATCACTCTCTCAGAAGTGTATTCTTATTTTTCTGTTGACGAGGTT